ATGTAAAGCACTAATTAAATGTATAAATGAACATTGGTAATAGGGGTAGTTGATGAGTGGAACGGTCTGCCTAGTAGGGTGATCGAAGCTGAAACATTGGATAGTTTCAAATTTAGGTTGGATAAATACATGAGTGAGAGGGGTTGGTTTGAATCGGGCTTGCACATGAGTAAATAGGTTTATCAAAGCTTGGGTAGTGGAAACAAACACATATGCAGTTTAATGTGATCCTTTATTGACAACGTTTCGCCCACACAGTGGGCTTTTTCAAGTCACAAACAGATCAACCTGGGATGGAAGGTACATGAGTATTTATAGTCAGGTTCAGAATGTTGAGGTCAGGTGGAGAATGCTGCATCTGATGATCTACTGGGTGGGGTTATAGAGTCTAAAATCTTGGGTAGCTTGGCAGGGGTATTGGATAAGTTGTGAGCAGACCTTCTGCAGTGTTCTATGTTCTTATGTGGGATAGCGATGAAGAAGTTTCTTGGCAAGTGGTTCAGCTATGTTATAGAAGCCATTGTTCTGGTTGAAATTGTTGGTTATAGAGATAAGCAATGATTCCAGGATTCTTCGGTATTGAGTGTTGTCTTCTGTGGCGATAAATCTTGAGTTTCTGTAGTTAATTAAATGGTTGTGTGAATTGCAATGTTGTACACAGGCATTCCTTGTATCGTCAGGCCTGCTTGCATATTGGTGTTTTGAAATACGTGTTTGGAGGTCTCTTGATGTTTCGCCCATGTATAATTTGTTGCAGTCATTACAAGGGATTATGTATACCCCTGCAGAGGATGGAAGTTTGTCCTGTCTACTACTGGTGATGTCCTTGATGGTCGTGGTTGTGGAGGTAGATACTTGGAATGATGTATTGGAAAAGATGTTGGAAACATGTTTGGCAATGGAGTTGGTGGGGAGGGCTATGTATCTCTTCTCGGCAGTGTCTTCTCTGGGTGTGTTGAAGATGTTTAATGCCCGCCGTCTGCAGTCTCTGATGAAGTGACGAGGATAGTGGAGTTTAGAAAATACTTGTTCAATTATAGTGCATTCTTCCTCCAGGAACTCATTGCTGCAGATTCTGAATGCACGCAGGAAGAAGCCTATAAAGGATCACATTAAGGATCACAATAAAGGATCACATTAAACTGCATATGTGTTTGTTTCCATTGTGTCGGTATTTTATACCATTTATTTTCAGCTTGGGTAGTAGTTATGCTGTTTGTAGGTTGGATTTGTGAAGGACCTGCCTAGTATGGGCCAACAGGCCTATTGCAGTGTTTCTCCTTTCTTATGTTCTAAAAGCTATGGCTTGGGTAGTTTCAAATTTAGGTTGGATAAATACATGAGTGAGAGGGGTTGGATTTGAGTCAGACTTACACCTGAGCTTATTGCTTGGGTAGCATTTGTTCTGTTAGTGGGTTGGATTTGTGAAGGACCTGCTTAGTATGGGCCAGCAGGCCTGTTGCAGTGTTCCTCCTTTCTTAAGTTCTTATGTTCTTATTTAACTTCACACTTACCTTTATTGAAGACTTGGTTGTGTGGGGGAGGGATGGTGAGTTTATTGTTGGAGAATGACACTAATATCAACTCTACAGCTTATTTATCTATCACAATTCAACTAATATGACGTAATAAACAATACTAATAACATAGAAACATGGAAAATACTCTAGAATGAATAAAATAAGTCATCATGTATGTCACAAGGTGTTGTGTTGTTGTTGGGTGTATAAGGGCCACCGAGAGTAAGCTGTCCATAATGGTGGTGAAGCAGCAGCTGAGGCAGCGGTGTTTCCTGTAGCCCTATATAACTCCAACAACATTGGAGGAGTTGGTAGAATTGCTGAATTACTGAAGAAGGCACCCTCTACCACCATCACTACCATATTCTACCACTATTACAACTGCTACCACCATCACTACCACCCTATACCACCATCAACCACTATCACAACTGCTTCCACTCTACCACCGCCACCTTCGTATTTTTCTACAAACTTTTTCTTAAATTACGTGTGTTTCTCGCATTCTTTACCAAAGGGCTGGCACTAGAAGCTTTCTTTGGAACCATGGTGACTTATTTAGCAGTTGCAAGCACTAAAACGAATGAAATATTATGAAATGTATCATATGAGCTCGTGGGATCATCCTCGCTCAGGGCTGTATGTACATGTCCCAGACGAATGACTCTTTGCGAGTCAAACGACAATTCACGAGCCAGTGTTTTGACGAAAACGTTACGATTTTCAAAAAATTACGACTATCGAGCCTTACGATTATCAAGGGACCACTGTATTTAAAAGCTATTTATGCTTAGCCTGAGTAGCATATGCATTTCTCATAATTTCACACATGATCTAGTGACAATCTTTTATTAATAACTTCTAGATCCCTTTCCTTGTATGATACTCCCAGTAGTTGATAATCTATATTCTACGTGATGTGTTTTTGCTTTCTCCAGTTTAAATTGTTATGCTAAAACTGTAATGTTATTCAAAGACTGGATTGAGGAATATACAAGACCAGTTGTACGAAAGATGTACGTAATTCAAAGAGGGGTTATTGAGATGAGGTGATTCAATCTTGTAGGGTAAATGGTTGTTTAAGTCTGAGATGGAAGGTGGTTTATATATGTATATCTGATGATTAGTTGAAGGGAGAATATGGATCTTCAGAAGGTACAAAGATGAGATTCTTAGACTGGAGTTAGTGAAGGAAAATGATCTTTGGGATTTGATGTTTTAGACCGAGAAAGGCAATACAAAAAAAAAAGGGGGGGTGGGGGAGAGGAGAGGAAATGTATTCAACATCTCTCATTCAGTAGCTTTCTTGCCAAAGTATAGACATCGCATTTCAAATGACCCTCTGAGCTGCAATATCCCCACCCTTTATTTATCGTAGTTTTTGTCCCTTCACGTTTCTGACTCTTGTTCACATGTAAATATTTAATGACTTATGAGGTATGAGAGAGAGAGACAGGAGACCAGACTGGTAAATTTTCATTCAGTTTGAAAAGTTAATAATCAGGGAGGCCCTCAGTCCCAACCATTTTGGACTAAATACACAAGTAGAAATGCATGTTCAGAAATTAAGACTGAAAATTAAGTTGGAAAGAAAGAGTATGGCGGAAGTGAATATTTTTAGACATCGTACTTTGGAGTAGATGTCTACAGATAAAATAAATAACAGAAATGAGAGAAAGAAAGCTGAAATTTTGTTTCAAGTATGGTCTTTGTAGCAATTAGGAGTTTGGAGACTGGAAATGTTTTCTTTAACCCTTTGACTGTCGCGGCCATATATATACGTCTTACGAGGTACCGTGTTTGACGTATATATACTCATAAATTCTAGCGGCTTCAAATCAAGAAGGAGAAAGCTGGTAGGCCCACATGTGAGAGAATGGGTCTGTGTGGTCAGTGTGCACCATATAAAAAAAATCCTGGAGCACGCAGTGCATAATGAGAAACAAAAACTCCAACCGTTTTTTTTTTAATTAAAATGCCGACTTTGTGATCTATTTTCGTATAGTAGTTATGGTTGTATTCTCGTTTTCTTGGTCTTATTTGATAGAATGGAAAACATATTATAGAAATAGAGGTGATTTTGATTGATTTTACTATAAAAAGAACCTGGAAATGGAGCTCAAAGTAGGGGAAATGTTTGATTTTTGCCAATGTTCAAAAGTAAACAAATGGTGTCATTGTCCAATAAATGTCCAACTAGCCATTCTAATATGCAGTCATGAATGGGTTGATGTTATTTACACAATTATTACAGTATTGCAGGAGTCTGCATAATAGTAAATCTTCTATTTTTTTTTTTTTAATAAAAATTCAAAATAGAAAGCAAGAGTAATATCAGAGGGGCCTGGAGACATGACTGATGAACAAAGAAAATGTTATTTTAGAGCCAGGAATGTCTGCATTGTTCATTCTGGACCTTATTTTGAAATTTTCATATTTTTTAATTTTCATGAAATTGGCCAAATTGCCAATTTCTGACCACTTTATTGGGTAGTTGAAATTGGTAAATGGGCAGTTTCTTGAACTCAATCGATAGCAAAAATGGAGTTCTAAAGAAATAGCTATGAGTTTGGTCGACTGGAACAATGGAATTAGCCGAAAATAGGGCTCAAAGTGGGCAAAATCGCCGAGGTCGCTAACTTCGCGAGAGCGTAATTCCGTCAGTTTTCCATCAAATTTCGTTTTTTTTTGTGTCATTACAATCGGGAAAAGATTCTCTTATCATTTCATAAGAAAAAAATAATTTTTTTTTTTTTTTTTTTTAAATTTTGCGACACCAGGAGACACCTCAGGATTGGGGGTTGCGACAGTCAAGGGGTTAAGGTCAGTATATGGTGTGAGGTTTATGTAAATTAGATGGTGTAATGGTATAAAACTTCAAATTCAAAGAGTAGTAGAGAAGTTAAGATGGTTTGGTCAGGTTATGCAGAAAAGTGGAGTAATATAAGATAATTAACAGGGTGTATAAATCTGGGCTAAATGGAATGGGGTTTAGATGTCAAAGTTAGGACTAAAAAGAGGATATGGAAAAGGTGTAGGGTAACTAGTTAGGACTTGAACATCCAGTGGCATACAAGTGTTAGATTGGAGTGCAGGCAAGTGGTGTTTAAGATTAAAGAAGCTGTTGTAATCCAGGCACAGTAAAATCTACAAAGGGGTTCAGGAGTTTAATTATAGTGGTTGGAAGTATAATGCCTGTAGCTTGGTATTCTTGTTGCAGATCATTTGAGCATGTCTGGAAAGATAGCTAGGAAGCCAGTGAATGTGTTTCCTTCTTAGAGGCACTGCCTCAAAAGTCTGTAAAGAGATGAGATGTCTGAGAGGACTCAAAGTTTCAGGGATATGAATAAGACTATAATATAATTAATTACCTTTTTAAATCTTTCCTTCATGAAAACTTAAAAGTTATTTATAAGAACTTTAATAAAAAGAGAAATAGTATGTTGCTTGATATCAACTTTTCTGCTTCTATATTTTCAGCTGAAATTAAGGAAGCCATCAGCACTAGAAGAAAGCCTTTGACCTGTGATGCCTAGCCTCTTAATTAGAAAAATATTTTGGAAAGATCCATTTGGCATCTGGCTCTAATGCTATTTTAATTAGCTCCTGGTTGTAAATTAAGAGATTTGTACGTTATTTAATAAAGACGTTAAATATGTAAGGAACTGATCATAGAACCTGTGCCCCTTGTCATATTTATATCAGACTCATTACTCGATGCTTCTGTCTAAACTGCATACACTTTCTACGTAATGAAGGCCACTGTTGAAAGCACATGAGTGTTGACATTGGCCGGATGCTTTCTTGTAAAAAGTTTCTGCAGTAAAATAGACATTGAGTGTAATGCTGACTTTTGATAATGCTGTATGTATCTTTTGTGTTTATACAGTAAAAGTTTGTCAAATAGAAATATTATGTTTGGATTATTCAGATGTTGATAATTTTCTTTAAGTACACTATTTATATGTATACTCAGACTATTTGCTTTGTGTAGATAATGTAAATTTTTTAAAGGTATTTCAAATGGTATTTGATTCTAACCATGTCAGTAAAATGATTTATATTGTATTGTAAAGTCTTGTTCCTAAAATGATGAGTGAAAATATATATCTATATGAAGAGTGTAACATAAATACCTATTGAACTTGCTGGTGCATATAAAAAGCATTAAATTACTAGACATTATCACTTGTTAATGTTATTTATAATAGAGCTCCTATGTTTATCAAGAAATTCTATTTTGGACCTTTTATCTTTAATAGATACTTTAGATTTGTGAAGCACTATAGAATCCAAGTTCTCTAGTCTGCAGAATTTCTTGTACATTCCCTACATTTTTCCTATAAAATACTACTGAAACAAAGTGGAACCACTATTGGTTTCATTACAGATTTGTCTATTTTCCACTGTAGACTTTTAATTTTTTGTTAATAAACCTTACTATTAAAACATGAATGCTTTTCTATTGCAACTAAACCTATCTCACCAACTTTATATCAAGCCACTGTTGCATGACCTGTACTTGGTTCTATAGTATACACGGATTTGTGTACATGTCAGATGTGACAAGGCCAAGGCTTGCAACTGTTTTTGCTCATTCAGTACAACTCTAGAAACAGTATCCAGGTTTACTTTCTGTTTTGGATATTGCTTTGTGAACTGCATTGAATGAGTTAAGCTGCATGGTCCTCACACACTGTGGCTTGGCCATGTCTGTTATATATGTTTATTGTACAGTATTCAATTTTAAGAGCAATTATTTTATTTATAATTAGCAAACAATTTTGGATTTTTCCAATTTTAATTAAAAAAAATCTTGTCTAGAGGTGTCTGATTTCCATTAGTGAATTTCCTCTACCAGTGCATTCATAGGGCTGTCTTGCCTTGATGTTTGTGAGGAGCTCTTGATCCAAGGCATTGGTCCTAGCCTTACCTAAATCAAATTGGACTTCTTCCCATTTCCCTACACACTTTATGACCCCTATGGGTTTAGTACTTTCTCTAAGAATGTAATAATAATTACCTCTTAGTTATCTTCTCACTCGATCATTAATAGCTTGCATATATCTTTTTCCACCTTAGTGATTTTGTTGTCCTAAATCTGTATTTTGTCTTTATTGTATTTAGTTTACCTTTTCTTACAAACTTGATTAACAGATTTGGTTCCACCTTGCTCTTCACTATTTCCTTTTCAAAGTTTCTTTCCTTCACGTTTTGTATTTATTTCTACCTTGTTTTTATATCTAACAAGTCTTTGGGTTTGCTTGCTTTCTATACTGGCTACAATGCCTTCATTCTCAGCTCTCCAGCACCTTCCATTAAATCTGTAATATTTCTCCATTTCCTTTTTTTTTAGTGTGGGGGGGAAGGGGGAATAAATATTCCACTTTCATAAATGTTGGAGAACTACTAATATAAATTTTGTCTTGTAATATTATAACCCATTTAAGGTAGATTGGTAGACAGCAACCACCCAGGGAGGTACTACTGTCCTGCCAAGTGAGTGTAAAACAAGAGCCTGTAATTGTTGTACATGATGGTAGGATTGCTGGTGTCTTTTGTGTCTCATAAATATGCAAAATTACAGGTACATCTTGCTACTTCTACTTACACTTAGGTCACACTGCACATACATGTACACGTTTATTTATACACACTCATCTGAGTTTTCTTTGATTTTATCTTAATAGTTCTTGTTCTTATTACTTTTCCTTTTATATCCATGGGGAAGTGGAATAAGACTCTTTCCTCCGTAAGCCATGTGTGTTGTAAAAGTCAACTAAAATGCCGGAAACAATGGGCTAGTAACCCCTTTCCCTGTATTGATTACTAAAAAGAAAATTGTCAAAGTGGGATGTCTGAATGTGCGTGGATGTGGTGCAAATGATAAGAAAGAGATGATTGTGGATGTTATGAATGAGAAGAAGCTGGATGTCCTGGCTTTAAGTGAAACAAAGCTGAAGGAGGTGGGAGAGTTTCAGTGAAGAGAAATAAATGGGATTAGGTCAGGGGTTTCAAATAGTTAGAGCTAAAGCAGTAGCAATAATGTTGAAGGATAAGCTATGGCAGGAAAAGAGGGAGTATAAATGTATTAATTCAAGGATTACGTGGAGTAAAATGAAGGTCGGATGTGAAAAGCGTATATGCACCTGGAGAAGAGAGAAGTGTAAAGGAGAGAGATTTTGGGGAATGTTGAGTGAATGCGTGGGGAGTTTTGAACCAAGTGTTAGAGTACTTGTGGTTGGGGATTTCAATGCTAAAGTGGGTAAAAATGTGGTGGAGGGAGTAGTAGGTAAATTTGGGGTGCCAGAGGTAAATGAAAATGGGGAGCCTTTAATTGAGCTATGTGTAGAAAGAGGTTTGGTAATAAGTAACATATATTTATGAAAAAGAGGATAAATATACAAGGTATGATATAATACCTAATGAAAGTAGTTTGTTAGATTATGTATTGGTGGATAAAAGGTTGATGGGTAGGCTCCAGGATGTACATGTTTATAGAGGGGCAACTGATATATCAGATCAATATTTAGTTGCAGCTACAGTTAGAGGTAGATGGGACAAGAGGAAAATGGCAACAAGTAAGAGAGAGAGGTGAAAGTGTATAAACTAAGGGAGGAGGAAGTTTGGGTGAGATGTAAGCAACTATTGGCACAAAGGTGGGCTAGTGCAAGTATGAGTAGTGGGGGGAAGGGGTTGAAGAGGGTTGGGATAGTTTTAAAAATGCAGTATATACGTATTAGAATGTGGGGCAGATGTTTGTGGTTATAGGAGGAAAGAGGAGTGATTGGTGGAATGAAGAAGTAAAGGGTGTGATAAAAGAGAAAAAGGTAGTTTATGAAAGGTTTTTACAAAGCAGAAGTGTTATAAGAAGAGCAGAGTATATGGAGAGTAAAAGAAAGGTGAAGAGAGTGCAAATGAAGAACAGATGATAGAGTGGGAGAGGGACTGTCAAGAAATTTTTATAAACAAGAAGTTAAGAAAGCCTAGGGATTGAATGGATTTGTCAGTTAAAAAGAGAGTAGAGGAGTAGTAGATGGGGAGATGGAGGTATTGGGTAGATGGCGGGAACATTTTGAACTTTTAAATGTCAACGAAGAAAGGGAGGCGATAATTTCATGCATTGGCCAGGGAGGTATACCATCTTTTAGGAGTGAAGAAGAGCAGGATGCGAGTGTGGGGGAGGTGCGTGAGGCATTACGTAGAATGAAAGGGGGTAAAGCAGCTGGAACTGACGGGATCATGACAAATATTAAAAGCAGAGGGGGATATATTGTTTTAGTGGTTGGTATTTTTGTTTAATAAATGTATGAAAGAGGGGAAGGTACCTAGGGATTGGCAGAGAGCATGTATAGTTCCTTTATATAAAGAGGAGGAGGACAAAAGAGATTGTAAAAATTATAGAGGAATTAGTTTACCGAGTATACCAGGAAAAGTGTACGGTAGGGTTATTATTGAAAGAATTCGAGGTAAGACAGAATGTAGGATTGCGGATGAGCAAGGAGGTTTTAGAGTGAGTAGGGGATGTGTAGATCAAGTGTTTACATTGAAGCATGTGAACAGTATTTAGATAAAGGTAGAGAAGTTTTCATTGCATTTATAGATTTAGAAAAGGCATATGATAGAGTGGATAGGGCAGCAATGTGGCAGATGTTGCAAATATATAGAATGGGTATGAAGTTACTAAATGCTGTAAAGAGCTTTTTATGAGGATAGTGAGGCTCAGGTTAGGGTGTGTAGAAGAGAGGGAGACTACTTCCTGGTAAAAGTAGGTCTTAGACAGGGATGTGTAATGTCACCATGGTTGTTTAATATATTTATAGATGGGGTTGTAAAAGAAGTAAATGCTAGGGTGATCGGGAGAGGGGTGGGATTAAATTATGGGGAATCAAATACAAAATGGGAAGTGACAGTTACTTTTTGCTGATGATACCGTGCTTATGGGTGATTCTAAAGAAAAATTGCAGAGGTTAGTGGATGAATTTGGGAGTGTGCACAAAGGTAGAAAGTTGAAAGTGAACATAGAAAAGAGTAAGGTGATGAGGGTATCAAATGATGTAAAGAAAAATTGGATATCATATTGGGGAGTAGTAGTATGGAAGAAGTGAATGTTTTCAGATATTTGGGAGTTGACATATCAGCGGATGGATTTATGAAGGATGAGGTTAATCATAGAATTGCTGAAGAAAAAAAGATGAGTGCTGAGTTGAGGTACATGAGGAGACAAAAAATGTTATCTATGGAAGCAAAGAAGGTAATGTATGAAGGTATAGTGGTACCAACACACTTACATGGGTGTGAAGTTTGGGTTGTAAATGCTGCAGCGAGGAGACAGAGGCAGTGGAGATGTCCTGTCTAAGGGCAATGTGTGGTGTAAATATTATGCAGAGAATTCAGAGTGTGGAAATTAGAAGGTGTGGAGTTAAAAATATTAGAGGGCTGAAAGGGGGCTGTTGAGGTGGTTTGGTCATTTAGAGAGAATGGATCAAAGTAAAATGACATGGAGAGCATATAAATCTGTAGGGGAAGGAAGGAGGGGTAGGGGTCGTCCTCGAAAAGGTTGGATTATTATTATTATAATCAAGGGGGAAGCGCTAAACCCGTAGGATTATAAAGCGCCCAGGGAAGGGGGGATGTGGAAGGCATTCAGGCTTAATTCGGGGAACCGGAGCACAGATCCAATTCCTTAAATCAAGAGCCCCTCACCAACATCAAGGAACCTTCCATGAGGGGTCGAAAAGGTTGGAGGGAGGGGATAAAGGAGGTTTTTTGGGTGAGGGGCTTGGACTTCCAGCAAGCGTGCATGAGCATGTTAGATAGGAGTGAATGGTATTTGGGACCTGATGAACTGTTGGAGTGTGAGCAGGGTAATATTTAGTGAAGGGATTCAGGGAAACCGATTATTTTTATATAGCCGGACTTGAGTCCTGGAAATGGGAAGTACAATGCCTGCACTTTAAAGGAGGGGTTTGGGATATTGAAGGGATATGTTGTGTATCTTTATATGTATATGCTTCTAAACTGTTGTATTCTGAGCACCTCTGAAAAAAGTGATTATGTATGAGTGAGGTGAAAGTGTTAAATGATGATGAAAGTATTTTCTTTCTTTTTGGGTCACACTGCCTTGTTAGAAAAAATAAATAATCTAACACAAAGTGGGAGTTGTCACAGTTGCTCTTTGCTGATGACACTATTCTTTTTGGGAGATTCTGAAGAGAAGTTGCAGAGATTGGTAGGGTATGTAAAAGAAGGAAATTAAAAGTGAATATAGGATAGAGTAAGGTGATGAGGATAAAAAATTAGGTAATGGAAGATTGAGGGGAGGTGAATGCATTCAGATATTTGCGAGTAGACATGTCAGCAGATGGGTCTATGAATCATAGAATTGACTAGGGGAAAAAGGTGAGTGGTGTACTGAGAAGTCTGTGGAGACAAAGAACTTCATCCATAAAAGCAAAGAGGGTAATGTATGAGAGTATAGTTACACCAATGCTCTTGTATGGGTGTGAGGCATGGATGGTGAATGTTGCAACAAGGAGAAGGCTGGAGGCGGTGGAGATGTCACTTCTGAGGGCAATGTGTGGTGTGAATATAATGCAGAGAATCTGTAGTTTGGAGATTAGGGATTACCAAAACTATTATCCAGAGGGCTGATAGAGATGGTTTGGACATGTAGAGAGGATGAAACAAAATAGAATGAGTTTAGGTGTGTGTAGATCTGTAGTGGAAGGAAGGCGGGGTAGGGGGTCAGCCTAGGAAAGGTTGGAGGGAGGGGGTAAAGGAGGTTTTGTGTGCGAGGGGCTTGGACTTCCAGCAAGTGAGC